GTGGGTGGGTATGACATCCCGAAATTCACCATAGGTGGGCATGGGTGGGCAAAGCCCGCTAGCGCAGAGCGTGGGTACTCAATGGGTACCCAACCAGGACCCCGTGTAGGGCTCTGCAGCTTAACTCACAACACCGCCGCACTAGGAAAAATAACAAATAAAAACCTAATAAAGCTTTATTCCTTTTAGTATCCTGTCTCTTCTCTCGACTATGTTCGAACGTCTTGGCCTCTCGAGTCTTCGGCCTCTCTACAAAGGTAACGAAGGCATTATTTGGTTATTCCTCTTTTTGGCATCACATTCATTCCTCCTATTTGCTTCAAATATAAAATAGTATTCATCTGATGTCAGTCTAAATAAGGGGTTAAGTTCCAAATTGATTATTTCCCTTAATTTTAATAGAGTTTGCTCTTTTTAATTGAAAAGTTTCGTAATTGATTAACATTTTTTTTTCTATTTTAGTGATTTAGAATCCCTTGAAATAGTATGCATTCCTCAACACCCAACGCATAATAGAACTCGATAAAGATATGCATTCCTCCCCAATTGTAATGTCGTTAATTAGGTCATCCTGTGTGGGAACCAGGAGCCGCGGGATGGCTGTGCCATCTCGTGCTTTAACCTGGAACGGCAAGGTGTGTCGTTTGGTGATGTTTTTTGAATTACAATTTCTCTCCATTTATTAGGTTAGTTAAAAATCCTACTTAAGTTATTTGTGAAATATTTATTTATATTTTATAGATTTACATGATGTCACATTTGTATTATGTGTTATTTGTTTATGTTTTATAGACTTAGTTGATGTCACATTTAGGTACTTTAATTAGTTTGGTATGAAAATGAAATTTAGAGTAAATTTAATAGAGAAATTTTTCTCATTCATTTTGTAATTTTACTAATATTATTATTTATTATATCATTTGATTCGACCCACGGTTCGACCGATCGAATTGTGAACCTTTACTTCTTCTGATTCGTTGTCTGATCTAATTTTAAAAACCTTGATTTTAAGCCAAATTTAAAAAACCATCTTCGCCATAAGATTGATATTATTATGTTTTAATTATATTAATGTTTTCATAATTGTTGGCCACTTATACAAATCCTTAAGAAATTAACACATGTTGGTATAAGTTGGAATTTTCGGACAGCCGGGTGTTCGTTAATTTTGCAAACCAATTTCACCAGTATTTTTTAAATAAATTATTTTAATTATTGATATATTTTTATCTTTTTTAAACCCAAAAAATTTATTTCAAATTTTTATTGAAAATTGATTAAATTATATTATTTTATTAAATAACTATATTATATTATATTAAAATATCGTAAAATAACTTAAAGTATTATTAAAACTTTTTAAATTCATTTTATTTTCTCCAAAAGGCATAACAAAGAAGGCTTAGGGAGAAAGGTGAGAAAAAAAAAACATGAGAGAGAAAATTAAAGCTAGGTTTTAGAGGTCGTCGTGTAATTTTTTGTTCGTCGATCCTGTTGGGAAATTTATTTGTCTCGCTGTAAAAAATAATTACCCTATTTTTTATTTCAATAATTTTATATTTTTTATATTTTTCTTATCAAACTTGATTATGGGGCATTACACTCCACTGGTCTCAATCGGCTGTCACCGCTATCTAATGCCACCCACCAACCATTGCACGCCACCTACTGCCACCTGCCGGTCGCAGCCCCATCACTGGCCACGGCAGCCCATCGGCCTCAGTCGCTGACGCCAGTCGCCATGTCGCCCCTCCGTCTCCCCGCCACCCGTTGGCGCCAGCTGGCCACCACAGTACATTTGACACCTCCAAGTTCAGCATGTGATTTTACCTGTTCTGACTCAATTTGGAAACAAGTAAATTATTTTAATTTTGAGTTTTGAAGCCATTTGCATGTCTTTGAGAGTATTTTGATGAATGAAAATGATTGTGTATGGTCTAAAATGATTCCTAAGTTTGGTGTGAATTTTGATAAAATCCAAATATGTTACTAATGGAGAGTCTCAGTGCTGGGTGTCCGAGCGCCTTAGCACTTCTCCAATATCATGTGTTAAATAGTAACATTGTAGTACTTATGGTTTTAGAATTTGAGATTTTGAACTAGCGCAACAACGCTAGGCCATTAACAGTACTTTATATATATTAAATCCACAATTCCATTCATTTTGTTTTAGCAGTCGGTCGAGCAACAGAGAAAAAAGAGAGGCTTGGAGAGGAAAAAGATGAATTGTGTAGCTTAAGGCCATTTTTAGTTGTCGGCCAAGTTGGGAAATTTGTCTAGATCGATGTAGGTCACATTATGCTTATCTCATTTTTAAAAAATATGCTCTTTTTTTTGGCTAAATTTTTATTATGTTATCGAAAAACGTGAATAATTTTGCACTAATAAAGTTTTCACCATTGTAACTTTTTATATATTATATAGAGAGTGAGATTATGAACATTCTAAATATTTTTTTTAAAAGTATCTAATATTTTAAAGATTGTGCAGTTTTTATCAAATATAAAATAATTTGGACACTGAAAAATAGTATTATAGTATAATTAATGTCTTAAAACAACATTTTATACAATCCGTGATAGTTTGATTATATTTTAAACTGTGAAATTTAACACAGTAAGAATTTACGTTGTCACTGTTATAGAGAATTGTACAATTCTGATACATGCTAAATTATGCTTTAATTGTTATAATGTGATAAAATATATATACTTATATGATTGAAAAATAAATATTGTTAGATATAAGAGGTCATAATCCTTTGAGATTCTGTTTATATTATAGAATATTTTGGTGCCTATAAGGCATATTCTAGTAGCTATAAAGTCATGTTTTTGTGGTTATAGGCCATGTTTTGATGGCTATAAGACATGTTATAATGCTATAAGCACAAAATGGAGCCATAATAGTCCAGTATCCTTTGAGATTATGTCTGGAATTAGAATATGTGATATAAACTACTTGTGATATAAACTAATCAATGATATGAATTTCTTTTTATTTATCTGCTTAGTATTTTTATTTAAATAATTGGATAATTACGAGCCTCCTATTATCTTTCTCAATGCAGTACTTTATTATAATGCATTCAATCATTTTTAAATATTCTAAAAATGTTTAATAAAAGAAATTTGAAATTTTAGATCAATTTGTGTGGCCTACTGAGATATTGTAGCTCACTGCAATTTTATTTCTGATTTTCAAAATTTGAGAAAGGGAATGAACTTACTCATTAACAGTTCGGGATCTAATATGAGTTTATATGTATTTCCCTGTTTTGATTTTTATATAATCATGACTATTTTATGATTCAATTTTGTAGCTTCTATTTATAATCATGTACTGTAATTTATGCATTTTGATGAAATAAAATAAATCTTGTGGATGAGTTGTTTTTAGTATTTATATGTTTTAATAGTTATGTAGCATGTTAGTTATTGAAATGAACATTGGAAGATAATATGAAACATTCCAAAACTTGACCTTAGGGTTTGCCTGTCACAGCTTAACACGATAGGACATAGCCTGATCGACTTAGGTTGTGACAGCACGCCACCGCCGGTCATCATCATTTAAGACTTTACTCTATATTCATTACTTCTAACCAAACAAAAAAAATCAATCTTTTGCATTTTCAACCAATCGAACAACATCTTAATTGATAGCCAACTTTTCATCAACAATTTAAGATAAGCTGCGTAATTTTTTTAATCTTCTTATGAGGCTTTTGATAAAACGTCATTTTAAGCAGCTTTGTCGCTCAATATTTAATGAAAAAAAAAATCTAATGATTATAAGCTTACAATGTACCATAACATTAAGTAAACTTCGATTTAAATTTTTGGAGGGTGTGATGGAGCTTTTTTGAGTTTTGACCGTTGCAATTTGAAAATTATAGTAGTATTTTAATCATAGTAGGTTTCAGCAATAATGAAAGGGATGTCAGATGGGAGACAGGTTGGTGTAAAGCAACAAAGAAGATTATTTGTTAAATAGAGAGCTTCCTAAATTTAAAAAAATATTTAGGATCTGTTTGATTTTTTGAGATAATTGTAATGTTTTATAGAATTAATTATAAAATTATAATATAAAAAATAACTTCACTATTATAATCATAGAAATCAGTTTTTACTCATAATTTTTTAAAAAAATATTGAAAAATAGCAAAAAAATAATATCAAAATGAAATTTTAATTCTTATCTTAAAAATCAAAACCTATCAGTACACAGTACTATAAAACTTTAAATACAAAAGATAATAAAAAATAGATTATTAATAATTCAGTCAATCATTCTTTATTTAAATTTAACATAATCCACATTATTATAATAATTGTGAGCTCGGCTCTCATCATAGAAATCATGATCATAATACTTTTTAAAAATTTTATTCAAACTAATCTTTTTAAAAATTAATAAAAAAAGTGATGTGATGAAAACTAAAAAAATTGAATTTTGATGATCATTATCATATTTGAAGAAATTATTCTGTGTGAAAATCGAATGCCCGAATTGAATGTATTGAGCTGCATTACCAAAAAAAAAAGTAATATGATCTTTAGACAACATTTTGGACAGAATTCCTGAGTGCATACAGGACCAAGCTGGCCTGATTGATTCAAAATCCGTGGTTCTATCGTCTTTCTCCTTTCATTTTTAATTTGCAACGGTAAGCAAAAGTCGCATTTTTATTAAGCGGAGACCATTTAAAAACAAACATGAGGAGAGAAAAGAGGCCATGTGAGCTGTGGAAAGAATCAAATTTCTGCTATCCTTTTCAGTTTCTTTTTCCCCCAACTGATCTTTTTTAAATGACCCTCTTGTCTCTTTTGTGCCCATCATTGCACTCCTCTCTACCTTTCCTCCATTTTCTCAAATTTGAAAACAAACCCTGTGTCCTGTCTGCTCCTCAGTGCTCTCCTGTAATAACTTCACAGGTAATAATCGAAGAGAAGAAAAAGGAAAACGAAAGGGAGTAGGAGGAGGAGAAGCAGAAGCCGATGCCGAGGTCGAGGTAAGCAATGCTTAGGTCGTTTGGTTAAGAAGAGAAGAATAATAGCGAGATTTATATTGACGTTTCTGAGGTGAAAACAGAGGATCTGAGATGCCACAGCAACGACATTCCCCTCGCGCTCCACTCCATCTCAAGACCACAGCTTGTTCCGAAGCAAACTCCATTCGTAGCCCGAAGCTCGAAGATCGTCGCTCTCCTCGGAGTCCTCTCCAGGAGGTGCTCAACCAACTTCCCTTCTAGAACTGATATCTCTGACTTTCCTCTAAATGCTTTGTTCTGTTTTAACAGAGGAAGAAGGTGTCGTCTAAAGTGGCAGATCTAGAGACAAAGCTCGGCCAAGCGCATGAGGAGATTGAGATGCTAAAGGAGAAGCTGGCCTCTGCGGAGGCAGAGAGGTTGGACTTGCAAAAGGAGCTTGAAGAGACAAAGAAGCATTTTCATGTCTCTCCCCTGAAAAATGCGGCTCTGGATCTAGTCGATGAGGAGAAAGAGAAGACTATAAATATGGAAGAAGAGAAAGTTGAACCTGCCAAAGTCCTCGTAATGGACAAAGATGAGCCTTTGCCCGCAAAAGAAGACTGTGTGAAATGTTTGGCCACCGACGTATTTGAAGTAGCTCCGGCAACTAACGAAGCAGAAGGAAGAAAAGTGGAAGCGGAAGATGCCGAAGAGGGAACAGAGACAAAGGTGATCATAGAGGAAGAAAAAAGCGAAGAAGAGGAAATAGGAACACTGGCGAAGGAGAAGCTGCAGAAGGAGGAGGTAGAGAGCCCGGAGATGACCGAGCTCAGAGAAATCCTTGCTGAGAAGGAAAAGCAACTCGAAAGCATTGTAATCGAGAACCAAACGTTTATAAAAGAGGCAAAGGATGCGAAAGCTGATTCATCTGAGTGGAGAGAAAAAGCAGACGAGATGACAACGAAGCTCGATCAGGCTGAGAAGGAGCTGAACAACACCAAGCTGACCGCTGAGCGCCTGAGAGAGAAGTTGGAGTCAGAAGAAACCGCGAAAGCGTCAATGGAAGCTGAAATGAAGCGCTTAAGGGTTCAAACAGAGCAATGGCGCAAGGCAGCCGAGGCGGCTGCGTCTGTGCTTGTAGCAGGTGATGCTCTGGTGAATGATGGAGAGTTGAACGGAAGAAGGTTGGGTGAAAGCGGCAGATCAATGGAGAAGAATCTTCGAGGTTACGACGTTTCGGTCGGTGGCGGTGGGTGGTCGCCGGTGATAGCTGGAGGCGAGGGGGCTGAGGGGAATGGCGGAGGGAAGAGGAGGGGTGGCGGTGGAGGAATTCGGGTCTTTGGAGAACTATGGAAGAAGAAGGGCCAGCTGAAGTGATTCAAGAAGAACAGAGTTTGGTTGTGATTCTCATCAACCAGGATACTTACTGCTCAGCTTCGTCTTCACTGTTTTCTGAATTTAGTTGCTGTTTTCTGCTTGTTTTTGGAGGATTACTTTGTTGGTTTAATTAATCAAATGTTTCGTTTTTATGATGAGCTCTTGATGTCAAGTGATTATCAGTATGAAGTCTCTGGTTGATATTTGCTATATTTATTAGGAAATTGAAGAGCTGCAGCTTTTATCGTTCCAAGAATCTTATTCCCAAGTAAGCGAATTAGTATAATTCAAATGATATTTAAAATTGACACGAATTTTCAGACAGCAAATTGGTGCCTGTTTCATGATGAATTATTAAAATTTCGCCTAAAAACGAATAAAGAAATTGACAAAAAATTTTCCTCCGCCTTTTTTTTTTTAATAAATTCAAACATAAAAAAGTTTAAATTCTTCGTTTTGAAATGCTTTGCACTCTTTTTTTTTTTTCTTGAGAAATAAAATAACTCTTAAATATTTTGAAAATATAATGCAATATTCAAAAAAATTAAAAGTTTCCTATGACAGGAAAACTATTATGTGCGGATTCGGATGGCGTTTGGAGACCAATCAGAACATATCACGTCATTTTTTTGCTTGTATTCGGTGCTCCGTACCGTTGAGTACTGAGTGACGCGTTCTGAGTGGTCTCCAGACCGTCCGATGTCCTCATAAAATAATTTCTCCTATGATAAAATATAACATACAAATTTAATGAAAATATTATATTAGAAAATTCAATGATTTGAAATAAATTTAATAAGAATAAACTTTATAGACACAACTCCCCTTGGCCTATTGGTTGAGAGCTTAGGCTTCCAACTAAGAGGTCCAAGGTTCGAATTCATGTGTATGCGTTGTGTGTGTGAGTTTGCCTTAAATGACCTAAATGTCCCAAAAAAAAAAGAATAAACTTTATAGCTGTCTGGTTTTTATATTACACATTTACACTAATGGTGAATCTGACAACTATAAAATTCAAAAAGGATAGTCTAAAAACTAAAACCTTGTTAAAACTCAACATCTCACAACTATAGCTATCTTAATGAACCAATCCTAAGTTTAGCAGACAAACAAGCCAAAATTTAGCTCACATAAATTTTCAACTAAGTTGGGAGTGAATTGAGGCTTTTTTTAGTGGAAAAAAAAATGTTTTAGAAAGACATAAGAAAGCTGTCTCAAACGAAATATAAGGACCTGCTTGGGAGATATTTTTTCACCGCTTTGCTTTTGAGTCAATAACCACAATTTTGTTTATCTACTACTTCCTTGTTGTTTTTTCTTTGTTTTTATTATAATTTTTTTGTGATGTAAACCTATTTTTTTTAATCATAATAGTTAAATTTTTTTCTCACAGCAACTTCACAATCAATTTTATAAAATTTTACGGTCTTTCCGATCATATCCCAAGTGCTATTCAACACTCCCAAAATAAAGAACAAAGAGAGGACATCAGGTCTTCTTAGGCCGATTAGTCTTTTAATTAAGTATTACTGGGTCGCGTCATTACTCTCCTTCTCACAATAACATAGTCTGCATAGTCAGACTTTCAAATTCGTCCAATATAGACAGCCATCCATTTAGCCACAACTTCACAAATGAATAGACCTGTCAATATTGGACCCGACCCGAAAATCCGATCGAACCCGACCCAAAAATTTCGGGTTTGGGTTGACCCGAAACCAAAGCGGGTTGGGTTCGGGTCCGAATAACCGACGTGTTTGCAAAACCAGGTCGGGTTCCGGTTGACCCGGAAACCCGGGAATGACCCGAATTGACCCGGAATAACACAAACTCGTCAGTCGCGTCAGCCCCACGTCGCACAGTTGAGCTAGCCCGCGCGCTACCACTGCCCTCGTCGCGTTGCTCGCGCACTCAAGCTGTCGAGCTCCCCCGCATCTGCCACACACGACTGCTGCCGCCGCTCACAATCGCTGCGGCGCTGCCCGCGTCTGTTCTAACGCATTGTGCTCGCGCACTCGCGCCACCCCGCCTGCCCGCTGTCATTGGCTGCTCGCTGCCGCGCCATAAACAAGTGGGGTCGGGTTGACCCGAACCCGACCCAAACCCGAAGCGGGTCAGGTTCGAGTCCAGAAAATTAACTCGTTTGAAAAAATGGGTCGGTTCGACCCGAACCCGAACAGTGTCAAGTCAATTTCGGATTTGACCTGAACCCGACCCGTGACCCGAACTTTACACCCCTACAAATAAATTCCTCTTGTTTTCTATCAAAAGAGTTATTTTTTAGAAAGTAATGAGCTGGGGTAATTCCATGGATTTGCTGGAACGCTTATAACGTTTATGGGTGCTCGGGGTGCTGTTATTAACCCACTTGTTGCTGGACTTATTCTTCTGCTATTGGCTTGTCTGGACAATGATGAAGCTCCCTATGCAGATCCCTTGGATGGCCTTCGGGCAACCAGGGAGGTGTTCTTGTCGGTGTTTTGGTATTTATTTTGAGTCCAGGCATGCAGGCCTGGGAGCATGTTCCGTTATTTCTTTTGGTGATGCAGGCTTTGGTTCTTCTGGTTCGCCTTCTTCCTTCTTTGGCTGGAGTAGATGTCTCGGTTCCTTTCAGGACTTTGCTGACTGGCAGAAGCTTCTTCAGTCGCTGGCTGTGCAAGGAATGGTTCTTGACTGCATCTCTATTCGTGGAAAGCTGTTTACTGGACATGGGAGCTCATTTTTACTTTAGCAGCTCTAATTTTTGTTTTTATGCATTTGTTTTTTGTCAATGTATTGGGAGGTATAGTTGTGATTTTTTCATAGGTCATACATAAGTTTTTGTTCTTTGCTTATGTAAGGCAGTTTTACTTGTATTCTCCTTTACATATAATCTTTTCATTTCATGATAATATATGGGCTTAGGCCCCAAATTTCCCCCCCAAAAAAAAAGATGAACAAAGAAGCCGCTAAAAAGAGCGCCGACTATGGTGCACTTTAAAAACTCAATGTGTTCTTTTGATGAGCCAATAGCTAAGATATTTTATCCCATACTCTATGATTAGGCATTTGTTAGTACTAGGCTACTAGTAGTTCCAAACGTGAAGTGGGTGAGTGACTCGAAGATCAAGGAGAATGGAGAGAGAAAAAAGAGAGACAATGAAGAGGTAATATATATATAATGCTCACTAAATTATGAGTCTCAAACATGAGTATCTCCCTTATCAATAAAAACAATCCTTTAAAAAGGGTTATAAGAAAAAAATTCTTTAAACTTTTTGTCATCATCCATTATTTATGGAATTTTGAAAGCTATATGAAATGTTATGAAAAATTTTAAAATAGATTTAATGAATATTTTAATTATTAAAAAACTATATTAAAAATAAAATTTTAAATTAGGCAAAATCATCAGTTGGCAAACAAGTCGCTGTTAAATGAGCAACTTAAGCTCACATGAATTTTTTTAAATAAATACAAATAAAAAGATAATAATAAACCTCAAATTTTAAATTTCTTTCAAAATGAATGTAAATTTAATTTTATATATATATATATATATTAAATTATTTATTATATCTATTTTAAAAATTTTGTTTGATGTGTTACAAAAAAAAGTTCAAAAAGTTTAATGCCACTCGCAACACCCATAGAATGGTACATGCTATTTTTGATATGTTGTCTTTTAAACGGCTATAAAAGGGTAGGGATATAAAAATGTTCAATGAGTTGCTTTCAGGTGAGTCTAATAATATTGAGTGGAAAAGGGTGAGTGCGCTTAAGCGGATCAATGGGAGAGTTTTAATATGAAAGGTAATCGAGATTGAATGCACTAGTTGATATGGCTGACAATTTATATGAAAACTCTCAGGATCACATGAGGTAGAGAGATGCGGGTGGGGTGCTTTCACAGAAGGGAGAGCTCTAAAGTGGACGGTCACAACAAAATTAAACTGAGTGTCTCATAGATAGTGATCTTCATGTAGTTGACTTTGGTGAGAACCATTATCCTGAGAGATAGTGAGTAGTTAATAGGTAGTTCATGCACGTGGCTAGTGCTTAAGTCACTAACTTTGGAGAGTAATCATCAATTCGTCTCGCATGTAGCAAGCTCATACAAAGGGCAAGTGAATGGCACTTGTTGATTATTACGATTGATTTGTTTTGCGAGTTCCTCAATTGTTCCTCTAGGAGGGTGAGTCTAGGAGGGTGAGTTCGTCTGTTATGACCTATCATATACATATATTAGATACCTATGAGAGCATACACATATATACAACATCTACCTTCATTCATGTTAATGGTCGATTTTCATCTGTTCTGAATTGGTGTTCATGTTTATAATTATCATTGATCATATTATCCTGAAGAATATTGAAATGTCTGCTTCCCAAAAAGATTAGACGGTTAAACACTATTAAAGGAGAGATTATTATGTTCAAAGTTCGGACGGGAGAACCGTCCGAATTCTGTGAATGCGCACAATAAAAGTACATCTACTATAACACTGCATTTTTACTATGTACATTTAGAGGAACGTTCCATTTAGAGAATCTAAAGACAGCTCCACATGTAAATTGTAATAATATCTTACAATTTGGACCCAACTCGCGCGTTAACCCGACCCCTTACTAGAACCTTCTTTCGCTCTTCTGATCCACCGTTCTAAGCTTTCGGTGGTGCAGCTCTTCATAGCTCCAGAACATTCTACGTCCCATAAACCCTAGGAATATCATCTTCAACACTCAATAGCCGAAGACCAGCCATCGACCATTTCTTTTTGTGTCCTCAGTTTAGAAACCGAGAAAGAAGGAACGAAAGAGGAAAGGCGAGCAACCTTAATGGCGGAAGAGCAGCAGCTACGGCTCGACCTGGAGGAGTTGAGACACCTTGAGAGCGTTGCGAAGCGTCCGCGTGTTCTCTCACTTCTCTCCTCGGAGATCCACAGCGTCGACGCCAAGGTATTCGTATCTCTTCGCTTCTGGATTTCTTTCCTGCTCTCCTTAGGTTATTGAAATCAAGCACGCCCATTGGTGTCTTTTGGTTAGTCTATTTTTTGGGTGGTAATTCGGCGGTTTCTTTCTCCACGGTTTTGTAGTTGGCGAATATAAGAGCTGTGGCTGCTAAGCCTGTGGTATCCAATGATCAATCATCGGTTACAGCGACTGCGGCGGCTGTAAATTATGTGACGCTTGGGTCGTTCAGTTGGGATCAAGATAACGAGAAGATCAAGGTTAATCTTTTTCCTTATTTATCTGCCTTCTTTGCGCATTCTGTCCATAGTACAGAATGCTGTTCTTTTTTTTTTTTCATTTATTTATGTTGCATCATTAATTTTTTTACTGCTTATCATAGATAGAACAATTTCATTCCTTTTTTGCTTAAGCAAATTTGTTCATTTTTCATGAGATGACTTTATCTTGACAACAGTGGTAAAATGCTCAAAATGCACTTGCGCTCTGATGACAAATCCATGCAACATTTAGTAGTTAATTTAATATCGTAATGAAATTCACATTTTGAATGATGAGAAACAGAGAAATGTCACTATGGTTTCCTAAAGCCGTCTATATAAGATATAATTTTATTATTTGAATTAAAATTATTGAACCTTTTTGTTATGTAATTTTAAGGGTTGTCTCGTAACACATATGATTATTGAAAGTTATTATGACTTTGTTGATTCTTTTAGTTTTTTTAATCTCCTTACAAGAAAGTTGGAATGATACAAATACCGTAGTTCGTAGTTCTTTTACAATAGTGAAAGTGAAGTTTGATGAAGCCTTAGATCTGATATCGACGGGAAGAATTTGGTGAAACTTCAAGATTTACCCGAGCATTGAAAGCAATGCAAGAACGATTTTATTGTTGTAAATTTGTGGTAGATCTAAATCCAAGACAAAAAAAGATTTAGCTAAAATTCTGTTACTGTAATTTGCTAGAATTGTAGTAATAAGAGGCAACTGAGAAGGGACTAACTAAGAAATCACTGCAGAAAACCTGCAAATGTTGTGATAACTAATGATATTGAAGATGCCTTAATTGAGTGTTTTTGTTAGTCTTATTAAATTTTGGATTCTAGGTTTTGGAGATTGGTTTCATGCAACCTCGCATAAAAAGTGTATGAATAATTCTCTCAAGAATTTTGGGGCAGCTGCATCTTTCTATAAGATGGTAATACAATTATTACGGTGAAAATAACTTTTTTGAAAGCTATTTTTTTTTTTGTAAAAGTTGATAATAACTCTCTTACAAGTACGATGCTCTATCACATCTAGTTCTCAAGAGTCAAGAGCAACATCTCACCATTATAAATTTTGAAAGCAGGAAAGTAATGGATAAACAAATTTGATGGCGATATGAAAAGCAAAGTAGTGACAAATTTTCCCAGGCATAGCTTGAAGGTTAATTGTGTTTGTTTAAAAAATTTTTGAATGTTAGAAAGTGTTAGAATTGAGGAATTTGGTATCTTTAGAACAATTTGATGATGGAGGGCATTGTACAAAATTTGTTGGAAGGAAATTGGAATCACCCAAGTTGTAATGATGATAACATTAAAAAAATAAATATTGACACTTCATATGTGACCAATAATACAAAGGATTTTGAACGGATATAATCATCCCAAGAGCGTTATAACAATTGCTTTATGGGGTATGAATATCACTCCTAATTGAATGCGCCTGGAGCATAAGATTATATATTGAATATCATAGATACTTTATGTGGATTCAATAAATATGACAACCTACCTGATCAATTAAGGTTTGTTTGTTACTATAGTTGAAATGTTATCAGAATATGTTGGGTAGTTTAAGGTAAGGGTCCATTTGGGATAGCAATAATTTTTTTGTAAATTTGATTCTAGAGCTGTTGTAGAGAAAGTAAGTTAGGTTTCATTTTTTTTTTTTTTTAAGTTGGCAACTTTTTTCTTATAGCTACCCCACTCAAATAGATATAGTTATTCAAAGTAATTTTTTTACTGCTAAAATTTAGCATTGGTCTGAAAGCAAACTCCAAATAAACCCCTAAATCTGGCACACTTTAAAATTATTCTAACACTAGTTACATTAGATTCTAATTCTCAGAGAGTGTTTTCTATTTCACGTGTGAATTTGGTTATCATATTTTAGAATGATAAAAATAGGATAATTAGAAATAGAATAAGGTGTGCTATAAATTTTTTTTTAAAAATAAAAACAGACATGTTGATGAATCAAAATATGCAGGAAAATATAAAAAATAAGAAAACATGTCATAAAAATTATTTTAGATGTAAAAATTTTAATAATTGAGAAAGATATAAAGAGACCGTAAGGTGTCTAAGAAAGCAATATGCGATGCAAATATTTTAACTTTTAACATTTTATATAATTAGATACTAAGGATGGCGAAAGATATATGTATAAGTTAGCCAAATATAGAGATAAGAATAGTAAGGATTTAGTTCAAGTGAAGTGTATTAAGGATGAATATAACAAATGTTTTTATTAGATAGGATATTCAACAAAGGTGGATGAGATATTTTGCTAAACTCTTTAATGGTGATTGACTTTAGTGACCTTAGTATCCTAATGAAAATAAAGATTTTTATTTTTATCACCGTATTAGTAAAACTGAAGTTAGAGAGGTTTTAAAGAAGATGAAATGTGAAAAAGCTGTTGGACCCGTTGATATTCCAATAGAGGTCTGGAAATGCTTAGGAGATGAATGAATTTCTTGGCTTACTAAACTTTTAATATTAGTTTGAAGACTGTTTTTATTCCTATTTTTAAGAATAAAGGTGATGCACAAGATTATGCGAATTATAGAGGAATTAAGTTAATGTGTCATACTTTAAAACCATGGGATAGAGTTATGGAGCATAGGTTGCTGCGTGATACTAATGTTTCTCAAAATCAATTTGGATTCATGTTGAGTAGGTCTACTATGGAAGCTATACATTTATTGAGAGGTTTGATGGAGAAGTATAGAGAGAATAAGGAGGATCTACATATGATATTTTTTTATTTAGAGAAAACATATGATAAAGTTCCAAGAGAAGTGCTATGGAGAGTTCTAGAACAACAAGGGGTTAATAATGCTTTTTGCTTATGATATTCTTCTTACTGATAAGACTAGAGAGGGAGTTGAAGGTAAACTTGAATTATGGAGGTTAGCCATAGAGTCTAAAGGCTTTCGTTTGAGTAGATCTAAAACTAAATATATGGAGTGTAATTTTAGTAATGATAGTTCTTGTGGGGGGATTGTGACTTTGGGCGATCAAATCATTAATAAGAGTATACATTTTAAATATCTTGGGTCTATTATTTAGAGTGATGGTGAAATAAATGTGGATATTAATAGAATTCAAGTTGGATGATTGAAGTAGAGGAATGCATCGGGCTTGTTGTGTGTTAGAAAAGCCCCCCTCAAACTTAAGGGAAAATTCTGTAAGATGGTGGTTAGACCTGCAATGCTTTATGGTGCATAATGTAGACCATTAAAAGAGAAACATAGTATTGAGTTCAGTGTTGTAGAGATGAGGATGCTTAGGTGGATGAGTGGCTTTACTCTTAGAGACAAGATATAAAATGAGCATATACATGAAAAGGTTCGAGTAACTCCAGTGGAAGATAAGATTAGAGAGAGTCGCCTTAGATGGTTTGATCACATAAAACAACAACCTTTCGATGACCTGATTAGGAGAGTAGATGTATTAGATTTGACTTATTTTAAGAAAGGTAGATGTAAACCTAAAATAACTTGGTTAGAAAATATTAGAAATGACATTTCTTTATTAGATTTAAATGAGAATTTAACTTTTAACAGGGCAAAATGGAGAAAAAGGATTAATGTAGCCGACCCCACATGGTGGGATAAAGGCTAGATGATGATGATGTTGTTGTTGTAGACATGTTGAGGAATCTAATACCGTGGGAGAGAATATTGACGAGCATGAGCAAGTTGAGTTGAATATATCTTTGAAAATGTATTGGCGAAAGAATGCACTTAAATTTTGAAGTATACAAGCACAACCAGAACTTGCTCCACATGTCTGATATTAGTTGATTCAATGGAGTTTCTAAAAGCACTCTTTACTTACTAACAATGATTAGCCAAATTGTTTTGATGAAGCAGCATAGATTGATGATTTTGTTAGTTGGAAGCTAGCCATGATAGATGAGATTTTCTTCGTAAAAATCAACTTTGCATGCTAGCTGAGTTACCTTGAGGTAAAAAAGCCTTTAACAGCAAGTGGTTTTGTCAAGTTAAGTAAGAACATGACAGAATTACAAGGTATAGATGTGATTGGTTGGAAAGGGTTTCTGGTAAAGACAATACATATATATATATATATATATATATATATATATATATATATATATATATGCCTATGGTTAATAAAATAATTCAGTAGGATCGCATCGGAGACTTTACATTTAGAAAATTAGTTGTGAAATTTATTTTTCTTTATAATTGTTTGAAAGAAGATATTTATGGAACTTATAGCTCTCAAATTCCTAAACAGGAAAGTGCAATGTGCAAGCTAAACAAGCGTATATGGTTTGAAGCATTCTTAAACAAGAAAGTGGGGTGTTTATGCCTTCCTGTATAACGACGGCTTTAGAAGATCTGATGAATTTTTGCTCTTTTTTTTCCAAGAGAATTGATTCATATATATCAGAGAGAAAGAGAGAGGGAGCGTGGGAGGGAATTTTAAGTTTTCAAAAGATCAATGACTTTGGACTATTGGATGATTGTTAGTGCATATCCGTAATGCTGCTATATATGGCATTCTTATGTATGACATAATTTGTTTCAAGTCAAATATAAGACAATGTAATGAGAGTTGTGTGCGGGCATATGGTTGATCTAGAAAAGTTATATTAGGAGACTATCGATTAAACTGTCTGATATCAAATAGATTGCATTGATGTTGGACTTTGTTTCAAAAGGAATGATTTTTTGCATGATTTTGTAGATGTTGACTTAGGTGTCTATGTTGGTTGTAGAAACATCAAAAGATATATCTATGTTAAGGGTGGTTTTTTTGGATGTTTTAATTATAGAAGATAGATGATCGTAGATTGTGACTCTTTTAACTATTGACACTTACTATTTTTTTGTTGTTGAAGCAAGTGAATATATGATTTGGTTGAGGAATTTATTGGAGAAATTCGAAAGAAAGCTAAATTTTATTGTGAACCAAATTCTAATTCCTTTGTGATATAGTTAAATTGTAATTCATCT